CACCACCACCACCACCACCACCACCACCACCACCACCACCACCACCACCTGGCTTTGCCTCACAAAAATGTGCTATCCACACACCCCCATGGTCATAGGTTTCCATGACAATGACACACATCCCTGCCCACCCACCCACCCAGGGCCCCAAAGCTGGCCCCCAAGGGCAGTGAGACCTGGGCCTATCAGAAGAGGGCTAAAAGGATGCCAAAGGATGGAGACAGGCCACTCAATCTCTTTGAGCAAGAGAAACTGGGAGTCTGGATCCCTGAGGGGAGGAGTTGCTGGTGGAAGAAAGGGGTCACCAGGGGGTTTGGAGGGGATGGAGGAACTGGATCCCTAGGTTCTGGAAGGGGAATGCAGTGATAGGGGGCAGTGAAATGGGGGTTTCTGGGGGCTGAGGACGTCTCTCTGCACCTTGGCTGCAGATCTCTGTTCTCTGCCTTCATCTACCCTCACTGTTCCCATGGAAACCTTTTAAGCGAACTTCTCAGGAAGACAAAAATCTTTTTTTAAATGACTAAAGAGGGGGGTGGAGGGGGGGGCAGAAAGAGGGAGGGAGGGGAAGAGACAGATGGAGAGAGGGAGAGAGTTGGAGAGACAGACTGAGTAGATAGCTCTACAGACAGACAGAAAGATGATGGGGGTCTGATGAAGTTCCACTGGGAGCAGAGGGGAGCGACAGAGGAATCAAGAGGGGTGCAGAAAATAATGAGAAATCAGGGAGGAAAGAGAAAGGGGGCGACAGAATTGCAGAAAATAGCAGCAGTTGAAAAGACGAGAAAAAGGGGTGGGGGGAGAAAAGAGGAAGGGCCCACAGGCCCGGAGGTCTGGGAGAGGAATCAGGACCGTGGGGGTGGGGCAGAGGTCTGGGGGAAGGGCAGGAACTAGGTCATTCTCTCCACGATCTCAGACCAAGGGCTGGGAGGGGCAGGGGCCGGAACGCTCGGACAGGAAGCTAAAGATCTAAGGAGACTATTTTTACAAGCATCAGGAAAACAGGCAAACTTCGCTGCTGGAGAGGAAAAAGGGAGCGAAACAGAGCAAAGACCACTGGGGCCTCTCACCCACAGCCCCAGTCCCGCTCCAGATCCCAGAGGAGGGCGCCTTCTCCTTCCAGGCTCCCACTCGCAGGATGAGAGACTCTGTCTCCTCCTCCTCCTCCTCCCACCCCCTGACAGCTCCCTCATTTCCCGGACTCCCCCCTCCCCGGCAGCCCGGTCCACCTTCAGCCCTCTCCCCGCGACTGTCCGGGGCACGAGAGCCTGCTCGGCCGCCGTACCATGCTCGCCGTGGGGCCGCCCCTCCACCGGCACGGAGACCGTGCGTCTCAGCAGTTTGTTGCGACTGGACTCGCTCCTCCGGTCCCGGATCAGAAGGGGGTGTATCTAGGGGATGCGGGGGTGTGTCAGACCTCACTGGCCCAAGCCGTCCCTCTTCTTGCCCCCCGCCCCCACCACCGAGGAAGAATGAACCTCCCTGTCCATCGGGCCTGCCCACCTTCAGCCCCTGCTCCCGCACACTCTTGAAGTGTCTCGGGATGAGTCGATTGCTCTTTCCCCTCTCTCTCCAAGTGTCTCTCTCTCTCGTTCCCTCCCGTCCCATCCTCCTCTTCCCTCCCTCCATTTCTTTTGAAACACCCTCCGGGAAATTCTCCCAAACCCGACTCAGTTCTTCCGGCAACTCCGCAGGAGTCTGCTACTCTCCTAATCCCCTTTCCCCTTGACCTTCAATTCCTCCATTCTCCCCGCTTTCCTCCCAACCTCCCACCTCCCTCACCACCTTCCCTCCCTCCGTGCCTGTCACGGGGGTAGCAGAAGCTGCATTTATAATCAGGATCTACAGCTTGTCTCCCTCCCACGGCCGGGCTTTCGGCCAGACTGGGACCCAACCTCCCCACACCCCCCAAAGGGCCTGGTCACCTCCCCACACCCTTCATCTCCTTCCCTCGGCCCCCGGCCCCCACTCAACCTCTCTCACATCCCTCTTCTCTTGAGCCATTCCCACTCCCTGAGCCTCATCCCCAGCTCCAATCCTCCAATCTCCTCTACCCTACAAGAACCCCGCCTCGCTAGTCCCTAGCCCCAGGTCCACAACCCATCCACTTCAGCCCCTGTGGCCCTAAATGCTGCTTACCTACCCATCCCATCCCATCCCCCACCCTCCCTACTCCAGACTCTGGCCACTTGTAGTGCCCCTCAGCTTGCTGGCCACCGGTTCCCCCCACCACCTGGGCTCATCTCTACCATTCCACCATTACCCCATCCATTGCTCTCCCTCTTCATCCTCCCAACAGTCCCCACTCTCATTGGTTCCTGTTTCCCCAATTCATCCTGCAGACCACAACCTTTGGTCAAGACCCGCGACCACTAGTGAATCACTCAAATGCCCCCCAATGCCTAAAACTTGGACTCCCTAACCACCTCGTCCTTTAAAGCCACCATGTCCCCTGTGACCTGGAAATTCTAGCTGGCCATCTTTCTACACTCTCACTTGCCCCTCAGGTCCCTCAGAACCCCGATTAGCCCCAACTCCAATTCTAGCCCTGCCTCACCACACCCTCCCCAACAGCACTGGGAGCACATCTCTCACCACTAATCTGGTTTCGGAGGCTACCTATCACTCTCTAAAGCTGCTCTCCCACTCCCTGGGTCACACCTCTGGGCATCCATATCTGCATCCCATTTTCTCTGATGGGTCCCCCACTGCTGCTTCAGTGACTGGTGGGAACCCATACTCCCCTGCCTCTAATGGCCCTGCGTGGCCCCCTCCTCCCACACTTTGACTAGTCCCTGCCCCTCTCCTACTCCTACTCCTTTAGAAAATGTCCTCTACTTCTAGTTCCCCTCCTCCCCCTGGCTTCCCCTCCCTTATATTCTTTTCCTGATTGCTGTCTCTTGTGAAAGCCCTCCCAGTCTTTCTAAATCCTGACTGCAGGCACCTTCCCAATCTTCACCGCCATCCACACCAACATCCAATGACTTCTGTCATCTCTCCCAGTACCTCCCAGCACCCCCACCCCCCACCGCCCAGTTTCCCTCAATTCCCTCTCCCAACATGATAAGGGCAGGACTGGGAGTGGTGAATGATGGGTCTCGCTGAGGTAGGGGTGGGGAGAAGAGGAGAGGGTTCTCAAGGATCACTTTGGAGGTGATCCCTCCAAAGCAATACCCATTTTGCCACCCCTTCTCCAAACCCTTCAGTTTCCCTTTCCCATCCTAACCTATCCCACAATATGGTCAGGGTGACAACAGGAGCCACCCCCAAATCTTCAGAACCACATCTCCTTCCCAACCCTGCATATGGCCCAGAAAGATCCCCTGGCCAAGGGGAGAGAAGGCCTGTACTTTTGCACATCCCAATCCAAATCTCAGTGGCCACCCTCCCCAGGCCGCTTGCAAGTGTTTCTCTCTTTTTTGCTTTCTCTGTGCCTGTCATCCCTTCGCTAATGAGGATTCTCCTTCTTATTCTCTCCACATTCTCCCATGCTACCCAGAGGTCTTTTCCCAACCTTCCCACTCCGCTCACCTCGTCCTCATCCAGCATGAGAAGCTGGTTCCCCGAGATGATGCAGAACCGTGGGTTCCAACCAGGACGATCATATGGGGAATGAACGTATTGGGTTCGGTGCATAGGGGGTCCCCGTACATCTGGGGGACAGAGACACACAGAAACAGTAAGGGAGGCTCTATGCGTTTAGGAGACAGAGGCCCAAAATGGCAAGAGAGAGAGTCCACAAAGTGGGCGAATGACACCCCACCCGCCTTGAGATCACAGATAGAGGGTAGGCACATAGTAACTTTAAAGGAACAGAAGATAAGCCTGTATATCTGGGGGGAAAGAGGGGAGGGGAAATCACATCACAGGGGGCTCCATAGACTTGAGTTAAGAAATTCGGGGGGGGGGTGGTTTCAGGGAGGGGAAGCATATCATGACAGAGAGGGTACAAGTTTAGAGGCAGAGAAAGTGACCGTGCTTTCCATCCACATCAAAAAATATATATAAAAAGATGGAAGGAACAGCAAAACTGGCAGAAGGAAGGCACACAGAGATGGTGGTGGGTGACTGGGAAGAGGGAGGGCATCCAGAAGATGAGGACTTGGAGGGAAGGTGGCTCACCCATCTGTAAGACAGTGAGAGGAGGGCTGCACGGCTGTGGGAAAGAAGGATGGGGGTGGGGTGGGTAGGAACATTTGGGTCATGAAATTCTGATAGCTAAGCATCTGGAAAAGAGAGGAAGTGAGGGAGCTTACCTGTTCACAGAATCAGAGACAGGAGAGGGCCTCTCCTCCTGTCTCTCCTCTATTCTCAGCTCCCTCCTCCTCTAGCCCAACCCCGCTCAACCTCTGGGGAAAGTTCTGGTTCTTCTGGTGGTAGGGGGAGGATAGGTCTTGTCAACATCTGGCTATGGAGGGGCTGGAGAGTGAGGAGGTAGGAGACATGCCTTTGTTTGAATGAACAGAGACTGAATTGATCTCTTCTCCCACTCCATGCCCAGAGATTAAAGATTCAGTACTGCCCCTTCTCTTCACCTAGTCTCCACGGACAGGACGGAAGCCAACTCCACAGGTTAGGAACCTCTCCAAGGCACAGTGAGGAGCTTGAGGAAGAAAGAGGGGAAGGAAGGATGGAGGGTCTGGGCCTGTGACAGAGAGGGGGCCTCCAAAGTGCAAGCTGAGGATGGGGACAAACTTCTGAAAAAGAACACTAGACCAAGCATTGCCCATGCTCGGAGATGCCCCCAGGGGGCATCTTACCCAGTTTAGCTGTTCTTTCCATTCCCCCATCCCTGCAAACTGTCTCTCCTTTAAATCCCAATGCCACACACCATCACAGGGACACAGGGAACAGGCCCTATGGAAGTAAGAATCAAATTGGTGACATCAAAGTGATAGAAAATAGGTTTAAGGTATCACAGTGTGAAACAATTTAGAGGAAGAAAAAAAAAATCAAATCCTGTCACCTTTACAGGATAACTAATCATGGACATATTGCAGGAAAAGAACCGTTCTTTAAGCTCCCTCCTAAATGAGTACCCCGGGGCGCCTGGCTGGCTCAGTCAGTAGAGAATGTGACTCTTGATCTCAGGGTCATGAGTTCCATCCCCATGTTGGGAGTGGAGCCTACTTTAAAATAAATTAAAATCTAACTGAATACCCCTGAGCAGGAAAGTTTTGAAAAATCTAGCCCCTTTCTGTCGATATGCATGTTCTTCAAATGGACGTAACCTTCACATCAGAGTCAGAGATGAACCCCTAGAATACATATATTTAGAAACCCCAGTACTTCCAGACTTTCACCATCTCCAGGCCACCTCCGAGATTCTCTCCAATACCCTCTTAGATACAGATATCACCAGTCCCTAGGCTCTGAGACTGCACACACTGCAGGCAACATGCCCACCGCACTCAGACTCTGAGGGCTCCCGGAAGAGAAGTCTGTCGATACATATAACCATTCTGGGAGGGGCTGGTTCTGGCTGTAGCCACAGGAAGGCAGGCTAGAGTTTAGGGGACACTTTCCCCCCGGGAACAGGGAAGGTTGCAGGGAACTTAGCTTAGGAGCGACTCTGGAAACACACACCCCACACACACATATTGTCTGGACTTAAGTAAGGATGATTCTGGGAGGCAGATGCAAGAGACAGACCAACACAGCTGAGAAAAGGGAAAAAAATTTTACTAGGATAAGAAATCCCACAGGGCTTAGATGGGGATGTCTCATAGGCCCTGTTCCAACCATCAAAACCTACATCTTTGCACCCCAAATCTCCAACGCCCCGGGAAGTAGAGGAGACAAGAAAAGAGGAATGGGTGGTAAGAGCGAAGTAAGGTATTAGTGGAAAGTAGGTAGGCACAGACTTGCAGTGACAAGATGGGGAATGGGGTAGGGATAGAGAATGGACTGGGGGACAAATCACAGGGATGGAGCTAAGTGAAAAGGAGGCAGAAATGAGAGTCAATCCCTAGAGACAAGGGAATATACCAGAAAAGCCCAGTCAGACATGGGGCAGAGGAAATGAGGTGCACCTAACAGGGGTACTAAGACAATGGGGTCATGAAGGAGAGGTAGAGAGGTGGCAGAGATATAAGGGAGCTACCAGATAGAAGGGAGGGGAGAGGGAATGGGCCAGAGAAGGGACTGAGATAGGGGAAGAACAGAAGGGGGACTCATATAAGGAACGGACACCATATGGGGGGAAAGATATAGGTGATGGACACCAGAGGAGGGAGGGGGAATGGAAATAAGGATTGGAGGTGGGGGATGGGGGTAAAAGTGGTGAAGTGAAGGGGGCGGATAGGACCCCAGAGGGTACATTTCTCTGGTCAAAGGCCTTAGTGATGGTCAGAGTCTGGGGCAGGGTCCTAACCTGCCCTCTACTCCCAGCGCTCAATCTTACTTCTATTGCCCCCTCCCCCCCCCCAATAAACCACCCCCCTCTTCCCTCCATCTGGACCCTCCATTCCCCCACCCCCCACTGCCTCCCTCTCTCTCCATCTGGCCCCTTCTTCTCTCCCTCCATCCTCCTCTCTTTTTCAACCCCCTACCATTCTCTGAGCCCCTCCACCATATACTACCCCCCCCCCCATCTTCTTGGCCTCTCTTTCCATCCCTGTGTTTTCATTTCCCCCTTCCGGCCCCTCTCCTAAGACTCTGTCCTTCTATTTCCTTAATATCTCCTCATCTCTCAGCTCCCACCTCCAAATTATTTCTGCAGGTCTCCCCCCAACCCTAGCCTTCTATATTCCCACCCTTTCTGGCAATCTCTTTTCCCCTTCATCATTTTCCCTTCAGCCCCATTCAAAGCCTGTTTCCTGGCCCCTCCGGCCCCTATCTACCCCTATCTTCTGGCCTCCCAATCCTCCTTCCCCATTGCTCCCATCCCTGCCTTCCCGGTCCTCCTCTCTCTCCCTCCATTTCAGCTGCTCCCCTCCCTGGCCCCGGCTCTGCACCCCCCCCCCACCCCTGCCCCTCCCCCTCTTGCCCCCCCCCCCAACTGGCCCTCCCCCTCCCCTCACCACCGTACCTCTGAAGGGGGCATAGGACATCGCGGGGATGCTCCCCCGATGGATGGAGGCGCGAGACCTGCTCATCAGGCCTGGGGGGGAGGGGGCGGGGGGACGGGGGAGAAAGAGAAGAGAGAGGGGGAGAGAGAGGGGGAGAAGGAGGAGGAGGTGGAGGAGGAGGAGGAGGAGGAGAGAGGAGGAGAGAGGAGCAGAGAGGAGCGGAGAGGAGGAGAGAGGAGGAGGAGGAGGAGAATAGGAGCCAACGGCAGCAGCGGCAGCCGGGAGGGAGAGAGAGAGAGAGAGAGAGAGAGAGAGAGGGGGGCGGGGGAGTGAGCGAGAGAGGAGAGAGCAGGAGGAGGAGGAGAGAGAGACTCTGCAGCCCCCACCCCTACCCAGTGAGAACCAGAGAGAGAGACCCCTGCCTCAAAAACATAGTAGACGGAGTGCAGTTCTAAAGATGCAGACCTCAGATCCTGAGACTGACAGACCCCAGACCCACAGAGAAATATACCTTGCCACCCCCCAGGGGGGGCGGTTAATTTTAAACCCCAAATCTAGAGGGAAAGATACCCCAATCTCAGGGCACAAAACAGATCCTGGACTCCCCTCCCCATTGAGAGAAGGGTCAGAGATCAAAATATCAATGTCCAGCTTCAAAAAGGTTCTGCACAGCCACAGAAATCTTAAGACTCCAGAATCAGATGGTGATTTCAGGAACCAAGATCAGAGACCTAGAGTCAAAGAAAAAGATGAGATCCAGATTCAGAAAAAATCCAGACCTCGAATTAGGTCTTAGAGAACTCAGATCCAAAGATACCAGACCCCAGACTTAAATCTCAGAGAAAAGAAACTGCAGACTCAGAGACTGATAACTCAGGAGACCAAGAAACTCCAGACCTGAGGGTTGAGGATGGGCAGAAGGGAAAAGAGAGAAGAAGAGGAGAAAGAGACACTCAGGTAGCTCAGAGATGTAGAATGCAGAGACCCCAAACTCATAAAGAGTTTGAAAGACCTGGAGAGAGAGTGATCTCGGTCCCAGAAACACAGAAATTCCCAAAACAAAAAGGAATCTCGGTCCCAAGAAAGATCCCACTGCAAATACCGAAAGGCCCTGCAGAGATCCAGCTCAGAAACAAACTCCAAATCCAAAGACAGATCTCAGGGAGACGTCATCCCCAGAGACGCAGGTAGGACAGAACTCTGATAAACGCCCAGTGACACCCACCCAGCAGACCCAGAGACCCCAGATCTTGAAAGGAGGAGAAATACTGGGTAGGGGGAGTGGCAAGAGCCTTTTCTCTGCTGCCTCCTCCCACCTCTCTCTCCTCTCATTGGCCCCCTCTCCATTTTTGGGTCACTGGATGTGCTTGGGCCCCAGGGAAGTTATGTAGGACAGGTCCAGGCTCCTGGGGGATGGGTTAAGGGAAGGAGACCCAAGACTCAGAGGTGTTATAAGTCCTGAAGAGTTCAATAGAAGAGGGGTGAGGGACAAAAGGACCATCACCACGTCTTGGTGTCCTCCATATCCCCAACCTGCTGCCCTCGTCTCTTCCCCACCCCCACCCCATTCACCAGTCTGTCTCCAGCTGTAGGGTTTCAGTTAAGAAGGCTGAATTGCCCTCAGCCCCATTTTCATCACCCTCTATCCCATTCACAGGGTTTCACTCTGTCCTTTTAAAAAAGCATCTTGCCCCACCTAGCCATCGTCTTGCCATGCACATCCCTGCCTAATCACTTTCCCCTGCCCAGGGACAGCTGGCTTCTCAGATTATCCCTGTTCATTACCCAACCTAGACCTATGTCAGTCCTAACCAAAGAGGCAGGGGGCGCTCTCTTTACCCCCTGAGATTCGAGCTTCCCAGACCCTCCCACTCCTTAAGGCCTCGGGAACAGTCTAACGGCTGTAACTGGGCACATTCTGGCGTTTAAAGATGATTCCACACTCCACAACCTGACGCATCGAATTGGCGGGGTCTCCAGCCCCCCTTTCCTAGCACCAGCACTCTCGTCACGTGGCGTGCGGGGCTGGCCAGCGATTGGCCTCTTCGCGTCGCTCATTGAGATACAGCCGCCTGAGGGAGACAGGCCCCCTCACGTGACAGTGGAACGACGCTGCGGCTCCCCTCAGCCTGCAATTGGCTGTTTTCCGGTTTACACGGAAACAAGAGTGCCATTTCCGCGCACGTCTACAGATCCGGCTGTCGATTGGCCCAATTCCCTTTCGCTCCTCCTCCTTCAGGAGGAGGGGCAAACTGGGCCACGTGAGGGCCAGGATTGGCTGGCTCTGGATGCTCGGTCCGTCTTCCGCTGTGGTCGCGTGGTGTGCTTTTTCTTATCACGTGACTGCTGCCCAGGTAAGAAGAGGCCGCTCTTCCTGGGTTTGGGGTCGTTTCTCGGAGTTACGTGTGATTTTTGACATTCAACCCTCCTCTACCAGCAATAGGCTGCATGAGTTGGGGGCGGGCTTCCGCAATCCTGTTCGGCGCAGGGGTGAGTGACCGGCCCCGCCCCTTCCGGTCCTCGCAGCCTCTACCACCACCCGCTCCCCAAATCCTAGAGGTTGGCTTCTGAGGAGGGAGTGGAAACCGAGTCTGCCTTAATTCCTCAAGTTTCTCTCCCAGCTTCAGGGACCTTTTCCTTCGGGGTGCAGAAGAGGGGAAGGGCAGAGCTTGTCTATCCAAGCGAAGGGTTCACGAGATGCAGTTTCCTCGGGTAGTTGTGGAGTGACACCGAATTCATTTCGTGCTCTCAGGCCGCTCTGTTTCTGTCGCTTCTTTGGATGCCGGCGCTGCTGCCTGTGGCCTCTCGCCTTCTCTTGCTACCCCGAGCTCTGCTGACCATGGCTTCCGGAAGCCCCCCGTCCCAGCCCTCGCCGGCCTCGAGCTCAGGCTATGTTCCCGGCTCAGTCTCTGCAGCCTTTGTCACCTGCCCCAACGAGAGGGTCGCCAAGGAGATCGCCAGGTGGGAACCTTAGCGTGGAGCCAGGAAGGAGGATCGTGAGGGGAGAGAGTTGGAGGTGGCAGAGAAGTGCACTCCTGCAGCTTCCTACCTGATCTCCCGCTTTGGAACCCTGTCCTTTGGCTGCCAGTGCAAAACTCCGGGTCATGGGGCATTCTGAATGGGGCTTTCTCTTCACCTTCAGGGCTGTGGTGGAGAAGCGCCTGGCAGCCTGCGTTAACCTCATCCCTCAGATTACATCCATGTGAGTCATAGGCTTTGGGGGGGGGGGGTGGTTAACCTGACTCTAGGGGCTGACTGGGCCTTTCCTTGAGGGCAGTCTTTGCTCCCTTAACACTCTCTCCCTGACCTTTTCAGCTATGAATGGAAAGGAGAGCTTGAGGAGGACAATGAAGTGCTGATGGTGAGAAACGTTTCCCCATCCAGCGAAACCCTTTTGAAACCTTTTTGACTCCTATCCGTCAAGAGATCCTGAAATCAACCCCACCCCTGATTCAGTCATGCTTATCTTTGCTTCTTAGATGATTAAAACCCGAAGTTCCTTGGTTCCAGCTTTGACAGATTATGTTCGGTGAGAACTCTGACGTGGGTAGGGGTGAGGGCGTGGGGTAGGACTTGTTGGGCAGTCCGAGGGAGTGGGCTCCTTTAGGTAAATCTTTGAGTGATTCCTCCCCCCCCCCCCGCCCCCACCATTTTTTCAGTTCTGTGCACCCTTACGAAGTGGCCGAGGTGATCGCATTGCCTGTGGAGCAGGGGAACTCCCCATATTTGCATTGGGTGCACCAGGTTACAGAGTCAGTTGCCGACTCCAGCACAGTCCTACCATGATGAGCCCGGTTCCTGCCATGTTCCCCTTGTATATTTCAATGCCCTTTGACTTGCAGTGATAACTGGGCCCCTAATAAATCCTGTCTGTGGTTCTCTCTGCCTTTTGCCTCTTTTCTTGTCACATATGTGAATTTGGGAAGATTAGAAGTGCTTCTGTTTCCTGTGTTCTCATCTTCCAGAATGACCCAGGGCTGCTAGATTTGTTTATTTACCTTTATTTCAATCATACAGAGTCTGGGATCCTTTATCATCCCCCACCCCCCTGCCCTCAGTCTCAGTCCCCAGGGGTTAAATAATTTTAAAAAATATTTAAAAAGCTGTAACAAAATAACATCAAAGGAAATGGGAAGAGGGATGGGGGAAGGGTCAGGAATCACGAAGGGAGCAGAGAAGAGACAGCCTCTCCCCCAATCCCCCCACCTGGATTCCAGCCTGGGCAGTAGAGAGAACTACCCCCTACCTCCCCAGGTACATCCCAGCTGTAGGTGAGGTCAGAGGTCAGGGTATGAAAGTGCCGGTGTGTGTGAATGGGGAGGTGGGCAGAGGCAGGCTGTTCAGAAGATGCCCCCACCTCCCCACTCAACCAGGTACTGCACAGAACCATCAGGCCGTACTCTCCGAGCAAGGACCCGGACAGGGTCCCCTCGGGAAAGGTAGCCAACCCCACCTCGGACTCCTCCCCCAGTCCCAGGAGACAAACTACGGCACAGGGGAGAAGCGGGTGCTGAGCGTCTAGGAAGACCTGGGGAAGGGGCTGGGACTGAGGAAGATGAGGCAGTCATCGAGTGGGGGGCACTTTTAGGGATGTCTGTGGGGAAACCAATGTGAAGTTCCAGGGGTGACCTAGGGAGAGAAGGCAATCGTGAGTCCAGGTGCAGACAAGGACTGACTGAAAATGGAGCTCACATGTGGATCAGAGGAATGAAGCAATCAAGTTAGAGACTGAGGAACTTAGGAACATAGAGGTGAAGAGGGGTGGCACAGGCAAAGGGGTAGAATCTCACCTGTCTGGGGGTTCACCATCCCCAGAGGTCCCTGCGGTGCTGGCAGAGGGGTGGAAGGAAGCGAACATCCGGATGGGACTGCTGGGGTTGGGGAGGGGGAAAGTCAGGACCTGAAGCCGGGGAATAGGACCCTCTCCCACTGAGAAGGGCAAAGCGCAAACATTAGCCCCAAGGAATCCCCATCCCCAGAATACTAGGGATCAGACATTGGTTCTAGAAGTCTCTCTAAGACAAGAAGGGGGGAGCCAAGGGGGAGAAATAATTCTGGGTAAGAAAGTTCAGAGGATGTAGATAATTGGAGAAGAGACTCCAAGGGTGCATATCTGGTTGGAGGGTGAAGGAGCACTGACCTGGGCAGGC